TATGTATATGTATATATATGTATATTATACATATATATACATATACATACATATATATATACATATACATACATATATATATACATACATACATATATATACATATATACACATATATACATATATACACATATATACATATATACACATATATACATATATATACATATATACATATATACATATATATATACATATATACATATATATACATATATATACATATATATACATATATATACATATATACATATACATATATACATATACATATATATATATATATATATATATATATATATATTTCAGCAGTCAACAGCAAACCAAATTTACAAGCAACCAAGAAACGTTGGTGCGTAACGAGTAAGAGACTTTGAAATGAAACAATGGCAGCTGCTTTAACAATGTCTACAGCAAATGTTAGGGAATCAGGGCATTCTGATGAAAAGAGGGCTACTACAACAAAACATTTGCGAGTGTGTGTGGACAATGGCAAATGTGTGCATATGTGTATGTGTGTGTATGTGTGATATGTGCAAAGGGACCAGTTAATATCCTACCTGTAGTAGATAGTGCTTTGAACAACATCAGTTCAGAGAAAGATCACCCGTACTTCAAACCAGATTGACAAACTAACAGCTAGTCCAAGCTTAGCCAAAGCTAAAGTGAACAGCCGCTACAGTCATTTTTTAAATTCTCTTCTATCGAGTAGTTATCAACAGTTAGTACTTTTTCAACTGTGACACCATCAGTCATAGAGCACAAAGCATAAAGAAAGAGACAAAAGTCTTCATCCAGGGTAGGCTAATGGCTAGCCAAATGAGGTCCTAATATTGGCCATTTTTCTGGCTTTATAAAACAACTCCTTAAAAATGACAGTTGTGAAAGTATACTACATGAGCTGGTGCTAAGCATAGACACTTAAGCCTTCTGGGTGTATCGGAGTTGAGTACATTTTTGCACTAGAGAGGCTGATGGGGCATCATGGCAAACAGTGTCAGGAAAACAGTTTATGTAGCTTTATTAGTGTTTATTTGTAGCTTATTTAGCTTATGTAGCATTCTTTCACAATAGTATTTTGTTTTTTCACAGAGTCGTTTCTAAGCCTTAACAATTAGACTGGCTAGCCTGGCCTGGATAAAGACTTTTGGCCTTTTCTTCATACTTTGTTCTCTATGACAGATGTCAAGGCTGATAAAGTACTAACTATTCATGATAAGACCATCCCTTAAAAAAACTCCAAGTTCAAATGCTTTGTTGTGGGTCATTTGAAAACTTGCTTTCATAAAGCTTTCCATAGCCTTCGGTTTTGCGTTACGCGTTTATTCACATGACATTGCTTGTTTGTTTGTTTTTGTAAGTGCGAATAGTGGCACCTAGCTGTATCACTTCTGGGATACGTCTAAATTTCTGCCAGGAAATCCAATTAAAGTGAAAAGTAGTGTAAATATGAAAGAATTAACATTTGTATGAATTACTGAAAACTTTTTGAAACTGAAGTCAACCTGCTTTGGTCTTGGCTTGAAATAGGTGCTAAATTAAACTCTATTTATCCAAGAGGTCACTCAAAACGTTGTCTACAACAGGTGAAACATTGTTTGTTCATATCTTTTCCACATCACATCTCGTCTAAATATGTAATATATTGTTTTAAGGTCGTTCTCAATGTTATTAATTGTGCGTAATACAATACACTCTTAAAAAGTTCTTCCTGTGGAGGAAGACGCTTAACGTTTTAGAGCTGTATTATCCTGGATAACAGTATGTTAAAAATACTAAAGATCACGAGAAACTAACTGGTTTAAATAAAAGGCATAAAGTCAAATTTTATCTGAGTCAGTGCATTAACTTGATTATTATTGCTCTTTTTGTAGAACGGAAGAATATATATTTAGTTGTGTGTTTTGTTGAAGTTTTCAAAGCAACTTGCCTCAGCCAGACTTTGCAGGACCACTGCCAGAGCTTTCGGAGAGCTACAGTCATATCTTGATTTGAAGGAGAACACAGGCTGACAGAAACACTAATGTGATTTGTAACTGTTCAGCCTGAAGGATTCGGTGACAGTGGGAGCAGACAGAACAGAGCAGAGCAGCAGAGAGATTCAGTTTCCTGTTAAAACTCGAACACGGAAAGACATTTCTGCACAGTTAACGTTCCTTTACCCAGCCCTATGCTGCTTTTGTTCATGCTTGAGAAAGATGCCCAAGAAGTGGGCTCCTGCTGGGCAGTTAAGTACTTGACATCTGTCCGCTTTTGTTTTTAGTAGCCACCCCACCCCACCAGTTGCTTCAAATCCACATGCTTCAAGAAACACATCAGCTGGAGTACTAAGGAGGTCACAAAGAAACACCTTGAAACATCTTTGAGCAAAGAAGAAAATAGAAAGAGTGGAGTTTAAATGGAACTTTCCCAAAAGGTGAAACGATCTCTTAGTATTCATCTGAAGAATTTTCACACGGAAATGAGTTTTCTGTGCTACACCGTAACAAAAAAAAAAAAAAAAAAACACTCCTCATAACATTGCCTTGTAATCCTTCAGTATAAAACCTATTTCGTACATACTGCAATCATGGATTTTTATATTCAGCCTGGAAACGTCCCAAGACCAACTAAAAATACGTGCAGGAAATGAACACTTGTCTGTCGTTTATCTCATTTTACTGCCAAGTAATGGGGGTGGGGGAGCGAGTGCAGAGTAGTTCACCACTGTAAGAGACTTCAAAATTGGTTTCTACAGATTTTTGTAATAAGTCCTCTATTAATTTTAGAGCCTAAATTAAACTGCAGTGCATTACACAGAATGTGTTAACTCCGGAGCATATTAAGCCATGTATCCAGATGTCACATGACACATCACAGACAATACAGAGGTAATGACGTCCCGAAGCAGTGGCACATCTGCAATATGTTCTCTCCCATTAATAGTGAAACAGGCCACATTTGAGCCGAGCTGACACATTACTTTGCTCCTCATATACGGGCCGTTGGCAATGAAACTGTGTTATATGGCCCAGTAGTGCTGACAGGTTTCTTTCTCCTTCTCCACCTCCTCTCCAACCCCTCCCTACTTTTCTCCCACCACACCCCACTCTCCTCCCCTCCTCCTCCTTCTTCTTTCCGATTCATTTCTACCTCCTCTAGGCTGTGGAAAAGACACGTGGCAAGTGGACGAGGGGAAGGATGGATCTTCAGCCTGGAGCTAGAGCCTCCCCCCGGGGAAGCCGACATCAGACGCGAGGCCTCACGGGCCGTTGACCTGCTGTCTCCTTGATTTATGGCGGCTGGGGGCCCCTGGCCACTGCAGACTACTCTCCCTTCTCTTCACTTCTCTGTTTCCCTCCGCACACACCGCAGGACGGCAAGGAGCCACACACACTGCGCTGTCGTCTGCAGGAGTATCCGGAGAAGGATTTCATATACACGCAGAGCTGCACGCGTACATCCACTTCTTTCCACTTTATCCAAAAATAAACACCTCTTTAAACACAGCAGCACTGCAGCACTGTGTCCCACCATCCCACCTTGGGTCAATTAGAGCAAAGCTCCTCTTAAAGCATCCACTGTTGGACTGTGTGTGGATTACTATCAGTCATGGTGTTGGGCGTAGAGACCCCAATGTAGCTGCTGTTAAGAGGCAGGGCTGGATCAATGGAAGTGCGCTGACTGACGAGATGATGCTCGTGTTTTCACGTAGCTTGAGAGAAATCAGCAGCCAGCTTTTCCCCACACATCGCTCTCCTTCTGTGCCGCAGTAGCTGCCCTCGGTGGATTACTGAGACGGTAACTGTGTATTTTTAACATGAGACTTGCTTCAGTTGGAAAGCTGCACATGAGATCTGCCCCAGCACCTTAAATCCTCTAACTCTAAAATATTTAAATATACCTTTGATTTATTTACTTTTTTGTTTTTTTAAAAAGCTGTATTCTGAGAGAGTGAGAGCCAACAGGTGCCCTCGCCATGGTGTTGCCACCCCCAGACAAACGCCACGTGTGCCTGACCACCATCGTCATTATGACCAGCATGGCCTTCATGGACGCCTACCTGGTGGAGCAGAACCAGGGTCCCAGGAAAATCGGTGTGTGTATTATAGTACTGGTGGGGGACGTTTGCTTCCTAATTGTCCTACGGTATGTGGCGGTGTGGGTCGGTGCCGAGGTACGCACTGCTCGACGAGGATACGCCATGATCTTGTGGTTTCTGTACATCTTTGTCCTTGAGATCAAACTCTACTTTGTCTTCCAGAATTGCAAGGCTGACAGGAAGAGTCTGGAGACCGTAGCACGGAAAGCTTTGACATTACTGTTGTCTGTGTGCGTGCCAGGTTTATATTTGGTCCTTGTGGCTCTGGATAGTTTGGAATATGTTAGAACTTTCCGGAAGAAGGAGGATATGAGAAGCCGTCTGTTCTGGGTGGCTCTGGATTTGCTGGACCTGCTTGATATCCAAGCCAATCTATGGGAACCCCAGCGGACAGGCCTGCCCATCTGGGCTGAAGGTCTGATGTTTTTCTACTGCTACATCCTGCTGCTTATCCTGCCCTGTGTGTCACTTAGTGAAATCAGCATGCAAGGGGAGCACATGTCACCTCAGAAGATGATGCTGTACCCAGTCCTTAGCCTGGTCACCATAAACATGGTCACCATTCTTATACGTGGAGTAAACATGGTGTTGTTCCAAGACAGCCGGGTTTCCACCATTTTTGTTGGCAAGAACGTGGTGGCTATTGCCACAAAGGCGTCTACCTTCTTGGAGTACCGCAAACAGGTGAAGGAGTTCCCCCACCCACAGAACGCAATGGCGCTGGAGCTGCAGCAGAACTCTGTGAGCCACACGCAGACGCTGCCCAACGCCACCAGTTTACCACACGAATCTTCACCAGCTCAGGATGTTATAGACACATGACTGCCAGCGCTGGACATAGCACCGTAGACAACGGACTGCGCTCCAGCAGAGAAGAGTAGGGAATAAAGATGTTAGCTGCATGACAAGATGATACTTTGCTCCTTGTCAAGCTCACACAAACTGCTGTGAAATCACAAAAAATAAAATAATTTAGCTGTGTGTCAGAAAATACTGAAAACTTGACTCTTAAGTGCAGCGTGCAGACTTCAAGCCTGGACAATTTTATAATGTGTTATTGTGTTTTTAATAGTTTCACATGTTTTAAGAAGTTCAAACTTTATTAAGAAACCATCTCCAAACTGTGCAGCCCTGTGGCATTCTGTTGTGTAAAATTGGACAGCTGGTTCCCCTCAGTGACTCGCTTGTATTTTATTTTTTCCCCCTAAATGTCACATTTTTACTGTGCAACTGTGGCATTTTCTTTTGGATTCCAGCAGCAAAGGACACAGCACTCAGAGTGGAGCGGTGATAGAGGAGGAGGAGAAGAGGGCACGAAAAAGTCAGTCGTGATGCACGTTCTGCGTTGTACGAGATCAAGGTTGGTGGCTTTTATGTGTTGTTCTGCTGAGGGGGGAGCAAAGTGAAAGCTGCTGCTGTGGTCAGTGTGAAGCTTTACAATCATGACCCCCATGAAAGCAGCAGTGCACAGTACTATACCATCCACAGCAATTACACCAGCGATTGTTTCAGGGTGTGTGTGTAGGGATGCGAATCTGCTGAGCGCATTTGCTCGAATGCACTGGAGGTTTCAGTTATTTACAGTTGTTTTAGAACACAAGCAAGTGGTTGATAGGTGTAATAATCTCGAAATGAATCAAAACTAAATGTCTGCATCATAAACGAGAGGAAATGACGGTTTAAAGATGAGTTTGGTTTTCTGTACTGTACATTCCATCCTAAAGTACTCCAAGTCTTGAAGTGCAGAGCTCAAAGGAAAATTGGCGAATATTATTTAAATAAAGTATATAAAAACTAAATAATGTTTTCCAGTTTATTATTATCATTATTAATATTATTATTATTATTATTGTTACTATTATTATTGCAGGATGTACATTCTTTACATGTTGGAGGCCAATATTGTTTTAATAAAAGTATTTTAAAAAGTGTAAAAATTATGTGGTTTTTTTTTTTTTCCATACTCGATCACTTCATGGTAAATGATTTTTTATTTTTCATTATCGCCCACTGCTGAAAGGTGGTAAGTGCAAAATTGTAGAAGTGTGTGTGTGTGTGTGTGTGTGTGTGTGTGGGGGGGGGGGGGGGTCTGTTACCATTATATCGTATGTACCACTAGACAAATTAAATGAAACATGCAGAAAGTAACCAATGGATGTACAAGTAAAACTAAAATTTTCTGCTACTTTCAACTGTTTTTTCACCAATTTTGTGCTTCTAGTTTCTTTCTGTCAATTTCAGCTTACTATGCACTTTTCAGCTTATTTTTGCAAGTTTCAGCTATTTCTGCTATTTCATACCATACCAGCTTTATTTATAGAGCACTTTAAACACCTACAGGATCAAAGTGCTGTACACACAACAAAACAATCATACAGTCAGATAATAAAAATGATTAAAATGATTAAAAGTCACATAATATTTCAGCAAAAATGTAGGCGTTTGTATGCCAATATTAACCTTTTCAGCTAATTCCGCATTTTTTGCACTCATTTAAACATTTTTCAGCCTAATTCAGTAAAAATTTTCTCTCTCCACTTTCTCCTGGAAATTGTAGTTTATTTCTTCTTCTTTGTCTACTATTCAGCTGTTTGTTTGTTTGTTTGTTTTTGTTGTTTTTTTTTTTGTTTTGCTTTTTTCAGCTAATTTTCTTTTTTTTGTGCTCATTTCTGCTTTTTTCAGCCTAATTGGGTACCACTGTGCTCTTGCCACTTTCTTCTGGTAATTTAAGCTTCTTTCTGTGTTTTTAGCTACTAGTCAGCTGTTTTTTGCAAATTTCTGCTTTTTTCAAATAAATTCCATTTTTTTGTACTTGCTTTTTTAAGCCTAATTTGGCACATATGTGCTCTTTCCAGTTCATTCTGGTAATTTCAGCTTCTTTCAGTCTTTTCAGCTACTTTTCAGCTATTTATTGCTCATTTCAGCCTTTTTGCAACTTACTAATTTTTATGCTCGTTTCTGCTTATTTTATCAAAATTCAGCAAATGTGTATTCTTTCTGCTTTCTTCTGCTAACTTAGGCCTGTTCTTCCATTTCAGCTACATTTCAGCTGTTTTGTGGAAAGTTTTTCAGCAATAAGCAGCCACACTGCATTTTCGTAGGGAATGCAATTTCTCTAGTTAATGTTTGAAGGCAGCTCCTTTTAGGATTTCTGTTACAGCCATCTAACTTTAAACAAAATACTAAAATTGCCCAAACTCAGCAACTTTTAAAAATATTGACATAAAACTTGGTGTGGTAGTAGTCAAAACAGATCCACAACACATATTTTGAATGTGACCAGATTGTGTAAGATCTTTGCCTTAAAAATTGCTATTAACTCCCAACACTGTGTTTGTTAGCAACAATTCTCAGTTGAATGGGTTTTAAGGAAACTTAAAAAAAATAAACACTTAAGGTACAGCTACAGCTGATTACATTCTGAAGTCAATTCAATTTAACAACCATCATAGATAATCAACATTAGTCAACACAAAAATGGCTCTAGCTCAGTCAAAATTATAGTCTAATGTGGTCGTAACAGAGACGAACAATAAAAACGTTTTGATATATTGCAATATTGCATATTGTGCATTAAGTTATTTTCAAGGGCTGAGCAAAATGACTCCAACTTTGTCACTTATTTTACCATAAGATAATCTTGGTTTAAAACCCTGGCATGAAAGTCAACAGGTGATTTACATTCCTTTAAAGCGATGGTTCCCAACTCTGGTCCTTGAGGAACACCATCCTGCATGTTTTAGTCATTTCCTTGCTTTGACACACCTGATTTGAATAAATGGGTGATTTACAGGCTCCTTCAGAACTTGAGGAAGTAATCAAATCACTGAATCAGGTGTGTTGGATCAGGGAAACAAGTAAAACATGCAGGACAGTGTTCCTTGAGGAACAGGGTTGGGAATCTAGTCTTTTTCATTCTTTTGTTTATTATAAACAGCCATTTTCTACATGCCATACAATTATTGAGCTAACACCATTTTGTTTTCTATGAAAGTTACCCCCCCCCCCCCATCAGCATCATTGCTTCTCTGTTCTAAAGGTTACCTACAAAGTCGTGTTCAAAAAGAGATAAAAATGCCTGAACCTTTTCTCAGTTTCTGCCTTTTTGTCCCAGTTCTCATTATCACCTTCCTGCTTACTTTGTTGTTCTGCTAACAGTAATCTTCTGTGTTTGAGTTGCCTTCATATTTCCACTGGGGATTGTAATAACAAACCTGAGTGTTGTTCAGGGAGAGAGACAGCAGCCACATCAGAAAAGTCACTTCCCTGTAATCAGAAATAAATTAATAAATAACTGCAGATCTCAGCAACACAGTCCAACTTAAACACCAATAACTGTCAGCAGAGAAACACAAATTACCAACAAGGTGACATTTGCCTTTTACTTAGATTAGCATAATTTCTGGCTGCTTCCCCATCTGTCTAAAAAATAGACACAAACATGCTATTTGAATGACATGAGCTAAATCAAAGTCATGAGACAAAAAAAAAATGGTTATTTGAATTAAAGCAACAGTTCAAATATTTTGAAATGGGGTTCTAGGAAAAGTTTTGGAGAATTATTTTCTTAGATAACTTTAATTTCTACAAATAGTGTTTAATTCTGATGGTATTCATTGGTGTCCTCTCAATAGAGCAACTGCTTCCCGATTTTCCATAGTTGTGTTCAAATTCATTTTTTTCCCCCTAAAGCATTTTTTTCTGGCTTTGAATCAGTCATGAAGTATGGAAGCCTGTTTCCGCCATTGAAAATAAATTAAACGTCCAATAGTATGTCATAATTTTGACTTGGAAAGTCAAAATTATGACATACTATTGGACGTTTAATTTATTTTCATTGGCAGAAACAAGGCCTGTCGCGATATACAATAAATCAATTAATGGCATGATAAATTAAAATTATCTCATTTTTATTTATCGACTTTATTGTTTCTTCATTTCTCTCTCTCTTTCTACTGACAACACGGCTCAACTCCGGTGCTCTTCACTGACCACTCCCTTTCACTTTTCTCTTTAAAATCTGTTTCAACTGTCCTGATGCATGTTCAATGCATGCAATGTTTTAACTGTCCAAAATCACGTTTTTGGATTGTTCAAAGCAGCTACGTTGAGAAGCTAAGCTACGAGCTAAGCTAACAGGCCGACCTCGGGGAAAAAAACTCTGTCTTGTCGAAGCTCCAAAATTCACAGTTGAATACTTGTGCCTTCGTGTAAAAAGTTTTTCTCTGCAAAAAGAAGCTGAAAACTTGTTTACTGATTGTTTTTAAATTAAAAGCTTTGTGCGAAAAATGCTATGCTAAAGAGCTCAAACCACACCGAGCATCCACCATTTTGAGAACCGAAGAGAGACAGCCCACGTCACGTCAAGGGGCCTCCCTCCCATTTTTCTTAAAGAGACATGCTGCTCGCTCCCTTACTATCCATCCTTTGGTTCAAACAGACCTATTTTACCATCCGGTGGTCAAAAAATGGTACTACATGCAAAACAAATTAAACATTTCATCTTAAATTTGACAATAATTACTAATTATTGTCAAATTTCAAACATTATCATTTATCGCAATAATTTCTGAGACATTTAATCACCCAGCAAAACTTATCATGGCAAGCCTAGTGGAAACGGGCTTCCTTACACACAGTATGTTTATAAAAAGTGGAGAATATAAATGTATTTATTTTGAACTTATATTGACATCAACCCAAATTCCTTAAGGTGATTATTATAGGGTTGAACAAAATTCTGGGCTAAAACTGGACTAAACATGAAACGAATAAATCCATATATCCTTTAATGTTAGTGCTGTAAAGGAACCAAATAAAAA